AAAATCATTTTTTATCTTTTTGGGCATTTTTAAGGTCATTTTTAGGTTATTTTAAGGTCATTTTTTTAGGTCATTTTTAGGTTATTTTAATGTCATTTTTTTAGGTTTTTTAGGTCATTAAAATCCTAGCCCTAGTCATTATCATAATGTGTTATGTAACTTGAACGGTGGCAAGAAATGACTAACGCGCGAGTTCCGCAAAAAAACCTTTTCGGCGCATCATACGGCCGAATTATTATGCTGACCTCGTTCGGTCAGTAAATCGCTCTTCAACGGTTGATGCAAGCACGATTGAACTTCGAATAGTTGTTCCGAACATTTTTCCTACTCGCCGGCTCGCCGCAACAACTAAAAAAGTGAGCAACCGCAGTACACAATATGTAAAAGTTGGATACAAAAAATATATATATAAATAAAATAGTTTTGATGTTTTGAAATGTTCCGAAATAAATTTTATAAACAATATTATTCAAACAGCTGTTTTCGCCATTACTTACCATACATTATATATTTTTTTTTTATCGTACGAATAATTTCAAAAATACTGTAAAGCGGTAAGAGATGGTAGTAACATGTTGGGCGTGTAATTTATAACCGTTTCTGAACATAACGACGTCGTGATAAGTAGCAATTGAAATATTGTTTTGCGCGGATAATCGTAGATAAGAACCGAAAAAGTTGAGCTTACGCCAATGCGAGTATTTCGGAGGTAAAAATTAATTTCAAAGCCGGCTTATAAACAATATGTTCTTTGAGTCGTGTTGGTAAAAAAAAAAAACATTAAGAATTTTATCAATCGTTATCTTAAAATTACATGTTTTCAGCTATGTACATTATGCACGGGCAAAACCTATTAAGTTAATTCTGTAAATGTGCGTGTCATTAAACACAAAAATATTGCAGTATAAAAGCGTAGTTTTTGCGTTTAGATTCGTTTAATATTATATTTTAGGATGGAAAATTACATGTCATTATGGTATAGCTTATAATTCATCGAAAAACGCGAAAAACAATTAACAGAACGGACGTACGTAAATGTTTTTCTTTTTTTTTTTTTTAACTATTATAGTTCGTAAAAGTTATTTCGTCGGTAAGCTCTTGTTTTGGGATTATAAAAATGTTATATCGTATTTATTAAACGTGCAAAATGGTTTACCTTGTTTCTGCGCTTGCTGAGCAGCGAAGAACACAATGAACCATTTTTGTACTGTAGCTCCGTAATCACCCAAAAGGTTGGTAGTGATTTTTATCAAAACTGTCTCATCGGAATACCCGTCGCTATGATTTCGCGCGGTGCACGCGTACAACGTTCGCCGAACATTGTTCTCGGCACAATCAAATAAATTTAAACTATAGATAGTGAAACGGAAAAATACGATTTGCGAATTATTAAAAAATCCATTCTCGGTGCCCGATCCCCTTTGACGGTATATTATATTCCCGGGGATAAATCTTGTACAAGCGATTTTATTATTATTATTTTCTTTTTTTTTTTTTTCTAAAACAACGGCACGACGCGGTATATTTATACTGTACGTGTTTTTTATGCATAATCGATTTCAATTTCACAACAACGCGTACTATAAGCACTGTTTTGCTATAGTGAGATAAAAAAAAAAAAACAATCGAATATATTCGACGACCCAGTACTTTTGCAGCGGAATGATTATTAATAAAAAAGTATACCTCTGATAACATCGATATTGTTCTAAACATGCGCAGATATAATATGAAGTGGAGCGAAAATCCGATATCGTATCGCCTTGTAAAAACTGGTTTTATCAATAGTATCGTTCGAAATCTAATAGCAATGTACATGTTCGTCGATTTTTCTTATCGTGCGATAATCTATCGTCTCGCACTACGTGCCTCCGTAATTAAAACGATTTTTATCTCGAAACAACCCATTGGGTGTCTATAGCGCTATCTGGGTTACAGAGAAAATTTAAATATGAAATGAGTAATTAAATAAATTAAAATTGACAACATCAAATAACAAGGGCTGTGCGAAAAAAAAAATGTCGATAATGAGTATGTTAAAGCGAAGAATAATTTTCACGATTATTTGCAGTCAGATCGTTGGCGAGGAAAATAATAAAAAAATGAAAATACAACAGTAATGATGGTAAGGAATAACTGAGGAAAACACGAAGCAATGTGTAATGGATGTTTCCAAAGGTCGATATGACGTAATGTTAATCATTTTAATCGATATATTAATTATGGCTATTGCATCTCCGGGATAATGGTCCATTAATGGGAAATAAATTTAGATAGTGCGACGGCGCACAGAGTACGTCTGAAATTTTATTATCATTTGACCGTTTAACGGTAAAATATTTTTAAAATATTTTAAGGAAATTTTAAATATTTATAAGCACACATAAAATATTTATCGTGAATCAATAAAGCTATTGCAGCGCGGCGGCAAGACGGCGTGAAAATGGAAACGAAGAAAAAAAAAAGACCATTTGCTGTGATAAATTCTTTCGTGGGAGTTGCTTAATCCGAAAATTCTTCTCTTGAAAACTACTTTAAACCTCAAATAACAACTACAGCATATTTATTAGCGTAGCATAGCCGTTAATTTAATCTAATATAGGAGTAACATATTGCAATTAAATCATAACTGTTGTATTATTATTGTAACTATACATTTTTTTCAGATAATCTTTTATTTGATTAAATAATAATTCAAAAACATTGTATACTAATTCGTTACAGAATGCAAAATAAAAATGGTTTGAAAAATATTCAAATAATGAATAACAGTAATTATAATCCGAGTCGTTGTTATTCAACGGACGTGAGAGATCGTCGGAAATAGTAAGCATTCGTCGGATGTTTAAAATAATAAATTGTGAGAGGGAAAGGGATAATTTATATATATATATATATATATATATATAAATGCTCGTAGTCGGTCCTAAAAACAAGTACGGTGAGATGCGCACGCCTGAATTTGGCGCGTTACAATTTCTATCTATATTTTTATTTAATTATATGTATTTCTCTCTCGAGCACGTCGAGGACTGTTCGTTGAACTTGTTCAGCAGCACTACATCCGGTAAATCATTAAACGACCGTATTAATCCAATTATTCGGTTCTAACGGGATGTAATTTGGACGTTTCGCCGACTGCTGCTCGTACAACTTTGAACACGATTTACATAAAACGATACACGATCCATCCTCTCCTCGCAGGCACCGCTACTATGACGTTTCGTCGCTACGAACTGCTGCAGATGTACAATTTAACGTTAACGCAACTAAATCTAACCAGTACACAATGGTACAAAACATTGGATCTAGTAGACCACGTGGGCGCATACATATGGACTGCATTACGTGTGACGGTTGTACTAGAACTTGAACATTAAAGTCATATAATCATGTCGTAGACGTTGGATTTTGTTAAATCTAAAATAAAACTATATTTTCACCACTTACTACAGATTTTACGTGTTTAACTGTTAATGTACTTTTTTTATATTTAAGTCGAAAACGTAACCGGTCCAATTAATATTATTGTTCATATAAATAATTTGATTTTTAGATAAACGGAATAGGGTATGACCTTATCGGTAAACCCTATTTTATTCGTATAATTGTGTTCGCCTAAATTTCTTAAACAAAATTTACACGCGAGTATTGTTTTTTTTTTTTTTTTTGTATCTGAACTTCTACGCTAGAGAGGGTAGAGAAATTGATATTTTAAAGGTTGATATACGTGCAAAGTAACGTACAATGATATTAAAGTTATCAAAATGTATTTGACTGCACTTAAAGATAATTGACAACCGATTGGAATTGATTTATTTTTATTTTCGTAGAAATAATTTGTTCGAAAACACATAAATCGATAGAAAAAACGAGCATCTTTCGACACTGTATGAATATGACTCACTCGACGCTTTTTACACTTTTATTTTCGTGTATATATCGTTTAGTATTAACACGTAATGTTTCGCGTTTTTCTTCTCTTCTTCAACTCTCAAAGCTTCCAAGGTAAATAACGTAACTATCGTCACATACATGTTTATATGTATATTTATGTGTGTGTGTGTGTGTGTGTCAAAGACGTCACGTATTTTTTCCGTGTGCAATCGACGCTATTTGTGTACGCTAGTAATTGCAACCCCTTCAACCCTAAAAACTCTTCCTGACGTGGAAAACACAATGTACTATGATGGAAAAATACTACTGCAGCCCACGGTTCCGATGAATAATTTGTGTCGAATCGTATACGAAAATGTATTAAAGATAACCGCCAGCTCTTAAAATCTTTACGAACCCTGTTCGCGTGCTTTGGAAGTCACATTATCGCTGTTATTTATATCGTTACTGCACACGTTCGCCGCGGCACCGTTAAATACTAAAAATTCGTTTCCACCTCGTCGTAATATGGTAATGTTCGCCATTGTATTACGCTACTTAATAATACACCTGCAACGCATTTTTTCTCGATTTTTTCGTACTCGTCCACCGACCCAGCTTCTTACTCCCGTTTCTTTTAAATCTCACGAAATGCGACTTTACGACAACCAAATATCGTTTATCATGATTTAGGACCCGCCAAAACTTCTAATATCAGACCATTCCAATCATTCCATGCAATAGCACTAGATACAAAATAAATCAAACTCTTCATAAGGACCTCCATCTATCAGGTGTAAGATAACTAACAGCTTATCAATATAAACGATTCCGAAAAAATCTAAAAAAAACCACACTAATCCATTAATTCATCGAATGTCCATCATATCAGTCCTAAACAATATCATCCATAGTCTAAACAAGGAATAGCCTCGAGACCTATTAGTTCCTGTGTTATTGTAATACTGTTAGTCAGTTAATAGAAAAAAAAAATATTATCCGTATCGAAAAAATCGTGATATGATTTTTATCGTCTTTTATTATTATTATTATTATTTTTTTTTTTTTAATTGCAATTTACAATTACCATTATTTTATCTCGATAGTAATTTTTCAAACACAACCGTTCGTCGACAACAATACACGGAAACAGTGCGCTAAATATTCCCGCTTGCGGACCCTTTCGAAAAGCGTGTACAGTGATCGTAAGGGTGGCTTAATAACCGGAGCCGGCCGGTCGACGATTGATCAACTCCGGTGTACATACTTAATCCGCTGATCGAGTCCCGTCATCGTCGGTGGGGTAATATTGTTTGGACTTCGTTAACGATGCAAAATTGGTATATCTTGACGCGCGTTTCAGGTTAAGAAAAATGCAAGTGGCGTTTACGTTCGAAACGGACTGAAACAGTTACCGTGCGCAATCGGCTGACTCTCCATCTTTTCGCATCGAAAAAAAAAAAAAAAACCGTAAGAATCGATCACAATAAGGAACTAATTCCGAGAACAATATTATATTTTATTAATTTCGTATATTAAACACAAACTTTGTCAATTTTGTTAGAATTATCAGGAACGAGCGAAACTTTCAACAAGAATTTATATTCATTAGGTACGGGACAACGGCGTGCACACGCACAAGTACATGTACAAGTACGCTGTTGTACGCTTTTCAATTACAAGTTGGATCTTATCAGTGTACCCGGTCGATAGTGGATCACGAAACGTGTACGCGATACGGCTCCGGGTTATACAATGTGTACCGATGCAAACTAGGTATGGGCGTGTAATCTGATGATCCGAATCGTCCGAATATCCGGACATTCAAATCCGGATTAACCGGAGTATCCCAATTCGCGAATTTACTTTCCGCGTAACTTACAATCATTTTTAATTTCTAGTAAAATAAATGATTTCGTTTTAACGTAACAACAAATTAATATTATGTTCTATGAATTTCAGCATACCCATCACAATTTCAACTATTTCTATGATTAATGATTATTTACCAAAACAACAATGTATTAAACTGTTGAATTTATTTTATATCATACTTGTAGCGATAGCATGACTGTGATTATCCAATCAACTTATTTTAACCGCACACAACCTATGAATGGTAATCGAATACGTTTTTCCCGTAGAATAGTTGAATTTATATTACAATAAAATGTAGGAAAGATACGATGATGATTTTTATCGGTATAATTATTTACACGGACTGCTTTCCTTACAATCGTCGAATAAACAATCGAACAGCGAAATCGAATAGCACGATTCGGATAGTTCTCAAAATCTGAATACGGCCTTCACCGATGTGAACCGGACACGAGCCTCGGTACAGCCGTACGGGACAAGAAGACAATTATCGGAATCCGAGTTTGTAACGCGCGTGGGAGACTATTAGTGCGAAAAACACGGAAGCCGATTTTGACCAGCGCCGCTTAAAGATAAAGACAGTATAACGTGGCAATGTTCAATATTCGAAACGCAACCGTTATTTGTTCCTTTGTTCCCGGTTGTTTTTTTCTCTTCCAAATCGAAGTGGATAGTTCGGTCAAATCGATTGTCGTTGCGATGCGTTCTTGTTCATCACGAACAATGTTAAAATTATCCCCGTCCGAACACCGAGTGTTTCCACCCAATATCACCGCGGTCCGTATCTTATGAGTGGCTAAAATATCTGTTGCGATCCGGAGCATGCAGCGCAACGTTTAATAATGAATTCAGATAATATTATGGCCGCGGCGTCGTGAATCCAGGTGACGTAGAATTCGCATTGAACGACGCATGCTCCCGGACGACCGGGAACAATAATGACGTTACAACGAGCACGGTGTACTATTGTTCGTATATTGAAAATATTGAAAACAAATGTATTTCATTTCTAAGCGTATTATACCATTGTATGTATAATATTGAAAACAGACGTGTTATACATATATGTATATATATGTATTGTAACGAACACCAATAACGAGAAACTAGATGGCGTTCGTAACTACAAAAGGAGCAACCACTAAACAGCACCACTCCTAAGACACGGCCTACAGAGGGCGTATGTGCAGCACCAGTATTTAAAAAAATGTTTTATGTTAAGTCAAGTGATGATTAATTATCGCCCTGAAGTTGGTAATTAACTAGTGTAACACCCCCAACACACGGTCAAATGCAGTAACAGACTCTCTGGATACCAGTCGACCATGATATTAAGTGTTAAAGACACCAAAACCCGGGGTCCGCTAACACCGTTAGTATACATAGATGGGTTATATATACCCATCGGACACACCGACAAATCGTCAGTTCCGGAGCATTCAGCTATCATATTACGAAGTTAGCGGTGCACAGTCCTTTCGGCTCTGAGTTAGAGGACTGTCATTCGCTCGGCTAGTAGTGTGATAGCCGTGCTTCCGGTGCGTCAATCGCCGTCCATAGTAAGTGTATCGTCGCGTCGTCCGTCGTTTGCACCAGCGTCTCTCGGCCATCCGGTTAGAGCGTTGGGGTCAGTGCCGCCCGACTACTACCCTTCCTACGTGACGTCGTGTTATCAGTGCCGTCGCCACCGAATACGAGTGCGCCGTGCCGCCTGGACTATTGCGAATATCATTCACCAACCAGTAGTAGTATAATTTTGTGGTAGTTGGTACTTCAGTGAGTAAATATATATATATCTAATTGTGAATGGGATTTTAGTGTTATACATCCGCGATATTTTGTTTATATTCTTAAATCGATCAAATATCAACAATATTAATTATTATTATTTCATGTTATATGTATATAAAAAGAAAAACATTGTTTATGGTATAATCTAAATAAACGTAAGAAATTATTATTATACAGTATTTTATATTTAATTATTTGTAGTTAATACAACTACAAATTGGCGCCCAACAAAATTAATTGTCAATGCATACACGTATAAAGTGTGCATGACAATATATATATATATATTTTGTTGTATATGAATCGCGATTGAACATACTTTCATCCCGATACGTGAAAACAGATTATCTTTATAATGCTAAGAAATGATCGATTGCTTTGATCTGCGAACACAGAAACTACGATATACAGAGCCTTGGATGTGTACAATATATATTTACGAACATAATATGTATATTATATGTATATTATACATAATTTTGCACCAGAATTATTATCGATTGCGTTTACGTGATTATCTGTACTGCAGTAATGGTATATAATAAATCGGAAATTATTGATTATCAACCGGCCGTACGATAAAGTGAAATATAGATGTTGCGCGTGAGAAAGGTTAGATATAAAAATATGTTCCGAGTGGAAAATGTGCATTAAACATTTATGATTAAAACTAGTGAGGTCAAATGATGCACATCGTTCTCCGTTGCCGCCACTATGTTTCAACGTCTTTGAATTTCGAATTCGACTCGTAATACCATGCATTTACCGTGTAATATGCAGTGTCAAATGCTGTGAGTGTTTCGTAAAACTCGTCGAATCTCGTCGGAAATAGTATGCACCACATGTGAATCTGAGAATAAGTACGAATGTGTTCTTAATAAGAACGCGGAACAACTTGACAAAAAAAGAAAAAAGAAACAAGATGATTGGAGAAAAATATTGTTTATAAAATCGAGCTAAATACTTGAATACATTTTTGGCCTTCGACTATAAGTTTATTATTTATTTACTATTTAATTTATTATTTTTATTGAGTATATACGTTATTGTTATTTAGCAGTGTTCCATATCGTAGTGCGAACAAGAATATCTCAATCTTGATTTATAATTATTACTATTGTTGATCTATTTACTAGTTCTGAGTAATAATCAAAAGAATGATACGATATTTTTTTACGTGATTTTACTATAAATTGGTTTCATGCACGTGACAACTTTTTCAAATAAGATGTTTGTTTTTTTCAATTACCTTTATTATTTTTACATTTATTTATGCATTTTAACCGTCGTTTCAACTTCTAAAGTCGATAAAATGATCTAGGCATGGTAGCTTGGACATGTTTTATGATATATATATATTTACCACTTTATTTCCCAAGCTTTAGGTATGTGATTATTTTGAAGATAACTGGAATAACCGCAACGTACTTCATGTTCTTAAAGCAATCGAAGTATTAACGTTTTCTATTTTAGCAAAGCTCGGGAAAGCAAAAAGCATAAAATATAGGCCTACATGCAAAACTAAAGTTTATGGGTGGCAAACAATTTCTCTTGGTACTCAGTGGATCGGACACCACGGACCGACAGTTGTCGGATAACCTCACCGTTATGGAGGATTTATGTTTTCCTGTTTTTTTTTTTTTTCGATTTCCTCCCAACTCCATGGGTACTACGAGAGTGCATTTCAATCATAGTGAAACATGATGCTATCACATGTGTGTAAGTTTATTAGTACAAAACTCTAAGAAAATATTTAATCTCACAAGGTCGTTTTTGTGAAAGATGACGTATCATTCATGGAAACTACTACGACATTGATAATTATCTGAAAATTTTGAATCATTATTTTTCTTCGTATGGTGCTTAAATTTATGTGCATCAAAAATAGATACAATAAATCCGGGGATTTATCAGTAAAGAAGGGATGGAACGAACAGAGAATGCTTTCTCTTAACGATTTACGGGGGATATATGTGAAATCGTCGGGTGGAAAACAAAAAGATCCTGTCCGTCCTGCAAAGGACGAAATTCGTGAACATTGTTTTAACGATAAAACATATGGTATGAGACACACCATGGTGTATAAAATGCATATAATACACGATCAGTCATATATTCAATGAAACTCTCTACGCAATTTATGTAAATATCTGTAATTACAATTATATGAAAATAGGTATTTTATAAATGCATTTTCATCGAAAAAAAAATTATATATTTAACGAATTAATTTTTTATTATTATTCTATAAATATTTTTAAGTATATTTTCATATTATATAGATACATATTACCATACTCGTAATAGTTAAAAAATGTAATGAACTATGAATTATTAATAATTAATAATTACTGTATGATATTATTATTACGATGTATATAGTGTAATATTTTAGATTAAAGAATTGCTCCGTTCATCATATTCATAAGATGTTTTGAGAAAAAAAACTTTCTAGAAGGTTGTTTGAAGAGAATTATTTTACGAACTTCCCAGCAGTTTTCTTATCAATTGCGAAAAATTGACAAAAGTTTTGTTATATTTTTTTTATAAAAAAAAAAAAAAAAATAACGCCAATATTAACATAGCTTACCGGCTTTCGGCAAAATCAAATTTTTGTTTTCATCATAACTCAAGTAAGAACTATCGAAAGAGCTTGTAACACATAAATTCTCATATAACTCATATAATTATAGGTGTTGTCAGTTTCAAAAGATCTTTTTATAGATAATTGAAAATACCATAATTCATTAGATTTTTTTCGAAAATATAGAAAAAATTATTTGGGTTTTGACAAAAAATCATTAAAATGCATTATAAATGTCTCCGTATATATTAATGATTGATAAAGTAAAAATTTGAGATTAATTTAGTAAAATGTTTACGAAAGATTGAATATTAAATTTTGACAAAATGTTAAAAATCACAAAATCCGCAAATATAACATATTTATAGTAAAAAAAAAAATCTAATAATATTTAAATTTTATATTATTGGCTTGAAATATGCATACAAGATTTATCGTAAAACTTTTTTTAAAGTAAAAAATAAATATATTACTGGAAAGACGCAAAAAAGTTTTATACCGTTAAAAAATAAAATTTTGGTGATAT